GCATTGGCTGCATGGCAATGCTCGATCACATTTGAGCTTTCGACGTCTGCACACGGTGCATGATAGCGGTGGTCTGCGCCGACGTGCTGCGGATTTGGGCGATGACCTTGAGTGCACCATATGAGGCGGTGACTCCTGATCGTCCTCCATCTTTGAATGGCGAGAAAATCAGTACTTCAATGGCTTATGACCCCACAGGCGTGGTTTTCACGGCGTTTTCAGCTCAGGGCCATTCAACGGTCGCTGATGCTAGAATAACTGGTAATGTCCAACAGTTATGGAGACTAGACCCACCGAGGGCTTATCTGATCGACTCTATAAAAGATGACTCAGTTTGACCAGATTTTGAACTGTTCTGATGGTCGCGCCTGTAATGCTGAGTACGAAGGGAATCGGGGATTAATGTCGCAGCCTCTCGGCGTTACTGAATGCAGTAGTTCCCGGAGTCGGCAGTGGCTTCGGAGATGCCTATTATAGCAATAAACTCCGTCGTCGGACTTTCAGGCTCAGACGCTGTCGCTATCATGTTTTAGCGGTTAATATGAGATTGTTTGTCCTGAGTAGGAAAATGTTCCTTCTTCGACCAGTCAAACCATATTTAATATTATTCAAAAATCCAGTTACAGTTCTCCAGCTGGGCTTTACTCCTCGTCCTATAATCAGGCAGCGCGAGTGAATTCAGTATCATTTTCAAGACAATGTTCCATATATATACTGTGTTTGGCTATACAATGCTATATCGAAAATGATAAAGCCAGGAAACGCGCCCATTCTGACAAGTGCTCTCGCAGGAACGAACCAGTCGGAAATAGTCCTATCAACAGAAGGCAGTGAATCCCCCCCGCAGTCAGCGCCACAAGGGTTTCATAACCGAGCGCACGTAAACAAGTCCATAGACCATGAGGTATTTTGAAATGACAAATGCCGTGAATATAGCAAGATAGGGCCAGATTGGGACTCATCTAGACCAATCTCTGAAAAATACGATGAGGTTAGCAACCTCTCTTTAAATTCACAATTAAATAAGACTCACATCGTCACCTCGACTGTACTTGCAGTATCCGCAGTGGCCATAACCATCTGGATTTGAGAGATTAACCGCTGCAACGTTCGGGATCAAACGACCCAGACTGACGAATCACGAATATGACGCTTTATAATTTTTTATTTCAGGAACACATGCAAAGGGAGGGATATCGGGATTTCGGAAGTCTTGTAGTCGGGCAATTCACCCAGCGGAACGCGCCCATGATATATGTTTAAAGAGTCCGACGAGAGGGCCGTCATTACACTCAATCGATTTCTCTCATAGATTTTACTCGCTTTTGTATAATTTCTGAAGAGGCACCATTGTACTAAGATGAGATCCCTTCCACGTCGTACGGCCAGCTCAGTCTGCTTAGACAACTTGCAAAGCAAATGTCAACACTCCACGTAAAAGCACAAAATCAACAACCTGCAAAATTGTTGCAGTGCTTTCGCGCGTTTTGCAAAGTACAATTTGTCCTCGTGGTTCTTTCAGCCGTAAGGATCAATTCATAGTTCCCAGATCCGCGGAGCTCAGAGAAGTCCTTCTATGAACAAAACCCATTCTTTGCACCGTATATCAAAGTCGAAGTATGCGTCGCGGACTATTTTCCTTAGTCGTCTGCACGCTCTTCTGAATGCGGACCGATACAGGATGTTTGCATGTACATCTTCATCGCTGTCAAATCTTTCCGAGAGAGCGAACATCCCATTAGGTGGTGATGACTGGGGCTGTAAGACGACCAACGTGAGAGAATCTAGGCTGTCGAAGCTGCGTCTTGTCAAATTTGTCAACAATCTTGCCACAGGGTGTTCACAGGCACGAATGACCAGATGCCTCAGTGAGTCGGGTAATTCTGGGTCGTCGGTCAGGACGCACTGTTCGATCTCTAGGTGCTGGAGGTTCGTAAAGAAGGCTAAGGACTCAATCTTCGGATAATCGTCCCAGCGTAGCCCCCAATCGTATAAATCAAGATCGACAATGATATATTGAAGGGTTTCTCTTTGTGAATTGAGGATGGCAGTCAGTTCTGAAACTTCAACAAGATTCGGAGTTTCAGAATCAGTCTCGTAGATCAGTGTTTTGAGACTCTTGCATGCGTATATGAGAGTTTTCAGGAGGTTTGTATTTAAAGACGTCCGAGTAAGGGAGACTGAAGCAATGTTGAGAGACTGCGATGGGAGCATGAAGTCTGAATCACCAGCGCCCCGTACATCAAGGAGGGAAAGGGAAAAATATTCGAGGCACGACGAACTCAAGAAGAAGGATAGGGTGTCTGCCTGAATGATATTCATCTGGCCCCAAGTTCCTCCAATATCGAGAGTCCTCAATTTGGACAGATACGGAGAAACCAAGTTTTTTTGTATCGAAGGCATATATGAAGCTCCCAGATCTTTCAAGTCTTCTTCTCCTAGCGTCAGATCAAGATATTCAAGATTTGGTGTGTGAGTACACAATAGCACGATCAAAGGGGGCACTTTTGCGCTCACGATAGATGAGAGGAATATCGCCTTGTCGTTCACGCAAAGACATTGAACCACATCAACTATCAGAGCTATAGTTTCTGGTGTGAGTGTTTTCGACCACCTTTCGGGCGTCCGGGATTCCCAGGTCGAAGTGTTTATGACTATCTGGCGAACGCGTGATCCAAGGTCGGGCCGAGAAAGAAGAGTTTGAGTAAAGCCTAGTAGAGAACAGAGACCATCTCTGCTGCCGCTGGTCTTGTGACAACAATGACAATGAAGCCCATTAAGGTATGTTTTGAAAAGTATCGGCTGAGCCAGCGCGTAGAGCTGGCGGGAAGTTAGGCAAAGGGAGAGAAGAACTGGCCAGTGTTCAGCTGACTCAAAGAATCCGATGATGAAGAGAATAATTTCAGCAGGTAAATTGAAAAGACTTCCCATTGTGAAGCCAGAGATGAATGAGTGGAGGGAGAAGGAGTAGGTATGGGACCAAAGTGGCGGTTGTTGGTGTCGAGATAATGGATGTCTGGGAACTGGGGATCCGCATGTGTTCGTTGTATCCATGTCCCAGTCAGACACTCCACGCCCTGCGTCATGCCTCGACGGTGCGTGAGCCGGTAGGTCAATCCGTACAGCTTTTGCATGTCTTCCGCCAAAATCTTCCTCTTGTGAAACTGTCTTCCTCTCGTGTGTACGCATATTACTGCACAACATAGCCTTCTTAGATGCAGGACACTGTATGAGCATGCATCCTTCAAGTGTGGTAGGATTGCCATGCTGCAATATTGGTGACCAGCAGGTTCTGAAGACTCGGAGTAAGTAACCTTCCGCCGTTTTGCCTCCTATCCCCGTCATTTTCTTCTCTGGCTCCTCGGTTTCTGCTTGGATGGCCCTCTCAAAGAGACAAATGGGTTGTATACGCGATGCATCAAAAGAACAGAGCTGAATTTACCATTCACAATAGATGTATCTGAGGCAGTTCGCATCGAATCTGTGGGCACAACAATCGGTATCCTGTGTTGCACGCCGAGCTTCTTTCGTTGCAGCCATTGGATACCCCTGTGTCTCTTCCAACGAAGGTCGAGCGATAGTTTCCCTTGCTTGTCAACTCATTAATACTGCAGACCTGGTACTGTAGTGCAGTTATCATCTCAAGCTATCCTTCGGACTCTGAATGTTAACATATGAGCCTTCTATAGCAGCAGGTGGCGCAGGAACTTGATCAGACCCAGCAAACATGAACGACCTCAGGTGCTTCGTTCGCTGTTGAAGAGTTTCAGTATTCAAGCGTCCGTATCAACATGCTCAGAGGAAACGAGATTCCGAACAATCATGTAGCCTGGGCCATTTCACGGCAGATTGTTACTAGTTCAATTGCCTATTGTGCTTACTCTTGAGTACTGAGCACAGGATTTGCCATCCAACTTTGCTCTGACAACTGATGCCCGACTTTCTGGAGGCGCTGAAACTATCTCTGGAGCCGAGCAACTGCCGCTGTGACAATGAGCCTGGACATAGTCCATTCCACATAGGTCTCCTTTTGGAGCTTTCTGGATCATCTAGACAACCACAGGTGAACACGTCTTACAAGAGCTGTAGTATACAGCAGATTCCTATTCATGACTACCGTTGGGTTAATGGAGTGGGTCTCAGTGCGCCGAATATTATTGAAGAAGTGCATAGGAATCGTAAATTAGGATGGAAAACTAAATACACGCTCTTATTTCCCAATAGGAAGGACTAGCCTAAGGGTATGGGTGACAGGTACAGCTGTTTCCAAATGGTTCAGGAGGCCGCAGCAGATACTGCACTTCTCTAAAGGCTCTCTAGCATCCACTTTCATCAAAACATCATGGCGACCCATGTTAATCAGAAGGTCACGCAAGGACTCATCGCCGTCAGTCACCTCAACGCTGCGCTTGGCGTTTTAGTAGCAATCGCCCCTTGTGCTCCCTAGACAGCCACTCATTGGAAAGGAATCAGACGTTCATCAGATTCTGGATTGCATATGATTCACTATCGGTAGGTAGTGATTTCGGAGCATAGTAGTATTGATCTTTGCGATAGAGGCGTACCTGTTTAAGGTAAGGTAGAATTACATGTATTTTATCTTCTTCAATCCTTATCTGCTGTCACCATCAGATGCTACACAAAGAGAGTCTGAGAAAAAGGAGCTTAGATTAGAGTTTGTGGAAATATATTACCACTAGGCCGAAAAGGCGTCCCGACGATAGGCTTACATACCATAATCTTACCGTGTTTATCCTAATAGCTTTGCCCATTTCCTGGTCCAACCATCTTGGCAATTGTGACAAGGGGCGTGACATACTTCTCTCTTATGAATGGCCAGTTTCTCTGGGCCGCCAAGGAGCCACATTCAGACGGAGTAAATTGGTATAGCCTGTGAATTGATGCTTAAAATGACGAGAGACTGCGGCGATATCAGTAATATTATTTATGCTCTATTACCGACGGATTACTCGCACATCGCTGGTTAGGATAGAACAAGGATGCAGCTGCCGCCGCCATTCTCGCGCTACCTTTCTTCGCTCCGCGCCCTGAACCAGCGCGTACAAGAGAGAGCGGCCTCTGAGCAACGTAAAACAAGTCTTGCTAGCCGATTGAGTGATGTGTTCTTACGAACATGGCATTTGGGGTTCACAGCTTTTGGAGGACCACCAGTCCATTTCCAGATCTTTCACGAAAAGTTTGTCGAGGGCAAAGGAGGACAGGAGAAATGGGCGGATGAGCAAACAGTTAGTGCGGAACCCAGCGAAATATGGGTACAATAGGCTGATCGGAATGACCTTGTAGTATCAAGAACTATTTGCCATCTGTCAAGCTCTTCCCGGGCCTGGAAGCACAAAGATGCTTTTCTGCTTGACTTTATTGCATGCAGGCTTCATTCCAGCTGTATTTGCTTTCCTTATATGGAGGTGAGCTCTCGGCATCATTCTTATGTTCCATGCATCGTTAGAGGCGACACGCAACGGACGGTGCAGCTAATCTCCAGTCTAGTCTTCCCGGAGCAGTTGGCATGTATGCACTCTCCCTTGGTGTACAAAATATCAATGATGTTCTCCCGGAAATTGCATATGCATTCCTTTCTGGCCTCAATGCTTCGACTGTGGGAATTATTGCTTTGGCAGCCGTCCAGCTAGCAGAAAAGGCAATAAAGGATAAGCTTACCCGCATTCTAGTCATCTTCGGCGCTTGTGCCGGCCTGTGTTACAATGCTCTTTGGTACTTTCCGCTTCTCATGGTTGTTGGTGGTTTGTCAGTCGTCATATGGGACGGATGGATGAGCCAGTATATCCGTAAAACCAGTGCTAAATGGAGACGACGAAACAGCCACCCCGAAGAGGCAAGGCAGGAAAATGGCGCTTCTAATGAAGTGGAGCTTCAAGAGCAACAAGACAGCCAGATGCGCAGCACTCCTTCTATTCAAGGCACCGTACGGTCACGGAAGACTGGACAGGCAGCATCGCTTCCAGAATCTGCTTCTGATGCGCAAACGGAGTCGTTGGAAGTCAGCGCTTCTCATGATCATATCATCCGGATCCGTGTCGGTATCGCGGTCTGCGTCGTCTTCTTTGGTACGTTCCAGCTTTGCGTTCATCCTCCAGCTTTCGATATCCAGCCATGAGCCTTACTGACAGCCAACCCAGCCTCTTTTATTGCAATCCTGGTGGCAAGAGGGGTCATCAATCACCCACCACTTGCCTTGGACTTGTTTGCCAACATGTACCTGGCCGGAACAATTATCTTCGGAGGAGGTCCCGTGGTGATTCCTCTTCTGCGTTCTTACGTTGTTGATCCTGGCTGGGTATCCGGCAGAGATTTCCTGATTGGCCTGGCTCTTATTCAAGCATTCCCTGGCCCCAACTTCAATTTTGCAGTCTTCCTTGGAGCTCTCGCGCTTCAGAAGTCCCAGTTTCCGACTGTATTTGGCGCTTTCCTTGGCTACATCGGCATCTTCCTGCCTGGTATCACATTGGCAGTTGCTGTGCAGAGTTTCTGGAGAGTGCTCCGTAAGAGAAAGTGGGTTGTCGACTGGCTTAGAGGAGTCAATGCTGCGGCCGTGGGCCTGGTCTTCACTGCTGTATACAGGCTGTGGCAGATTGGATATTTGACGCCCCAAGCCAGTAATGGTCAGAGTCTTGCTCTTGAGCCATGGTGGGTCGTTGTTGCAACAGTTACCTATGCGGAGCACGCTTGGTTCAAGGTGCCTCCAGCGATCGCGATCATCATTGGCGGTGTTTTGGGTCTCTGCTGGTATGGTGCTGTTGGTCGTTAACTCAACTTTGCCTAAAGATCAAAATGGAATATAGTAGTATGGCGCGAATATGGGTACGAAGAAAGCCGAGAGGGACGGATAAAAGTAGTCTTCGCATATTCTTTGTTTAATACAAGGTGAATCACTGCAGTGTGGTATTACTCTACGTAGTTGAGTATTCTTGGTCGAAACTCACAAGCCTTTTGGATTCGCTGTCTGCTCTCGATCTTTGAGACACGGTAATGTATATGGCATCCCAGCAACCACGGTGAAGCAACCAAAGCAAGGGCTGCAAGGCGTTGATTGAACTCAACCTTCGTCCCTCTCTGATCTCACATCTGCAAGGGTAGGCCTACGTCAGCGAATGTACTCTGAACGAGCCATTGGCATAGTGTATCCCCTAACAGTGTCCTGCCTCCTTCGATGCGAGTTTGGTTCCCTCATGGTGTGACTGAAGCGCGAGTCCCCCGCTGATCTTCTTTGTCACAGCCCTGATTCCTTCCTCGATGGTATCAGGATCATTCATAGACATCCAGGGGATGCAGCCATTATGATGACGCAATTCTGCATCGAGGAGGTATAGGCCTAGTCCGGGCTGCTTTGACACTCGGGTCACTTGTTGTAGGAGATCGCCCATGTTCTTTAAATGCTTTGCATGTTTTCGCAAGAAGCGCGACTCAATCGCGTTTAGTAAGGCGGTATCTTGACATTTCTCAGCCAAAGTACACAGCTTTTCCAAGTCCACGAAAAGCTTTCTCTGGACGTTAAAGGCCTCCCGACAAGGGCCAACAGGCTCGACGGGTGAATCAGGCCATTCACATTTCGGCGCCTCAATGTTTGTTGGCTTACACCGACCTCCTCGGCTGATAAGGTATTTCTCTAGCCATTGCATATCGATCAAGCACTCCTTAGCGCTCCTTTCCCAAAGCCTGATTGGCGAGATACAGTCAATACTCCAGTATTGCAGGCCACGCTCCCAACCTAGGGAGGGATTATTAGATGACATACATGGCAAATCCGTGCAGAGCAATGTTGGCTCGCGAACAGTCTGCTGCGAGCTTTCGATAAAAGATCCAGCTCGTCAATTCTTCGTGAATATGGCCTCTAACAGACTGTGAAATATAAGCCTTGGGTTCTCCAAAAGGGAGGTGCAATGGTGGTCATCTAGGATCTTTCAGTGGACACGAATTTACCTCTTCTAACTCGTTCGTAAATGTAGATGGCCGTAGCCATTGATCAAGGTCATGGCCTGAGACTTCAGAGATGATCGCCCTAGCTTGTTCAGACATGATTGTTGTAAGTGAAGAAGTTTGTCGGTTCTATTCTAGATGCAATGCTTCGAGAATACCCAGAAGCCTGAACATCTTCTGTACAAGAGGGAAATGTGGGAAGCATTGCAGCCTTGATATAGGCCCCGTCACGGAAATGCACCCCCGAATCATCATCATGACATATAGTCCACCTATCGTGAGTATATATCGTCTACAATACTTGCCAGCCATCATAATTAGGGAGCGCGAATGAAGCTGTAGTGAGGATGGCTCACGACGGAAAGAGTCATCACAATAACGTAGCCATTCCGTGAGAATGGTTGGCTGAAGCCCGCTCAATTCAATACCATTCTTTTGCAACTCGAAGAACGGACATTATCTCCATTTGTATAGAGCAGAAAGAGAAAGAAGGACATGTCGGAATTCGACTCCGGCGTTCCGTTTTAGTGATGCAATAAGGTGAAAGCGTTCGAACAAGTATGCTAAGCCTCGGGTAGGAGTATACATTCCCATCAACTTTGCAGTAACGCCTGGTCTGAATTGACCCCCCGTTCTCTATATTCATGTTTCTTCAGTGGTCGCTTTTTAGTTCAGGATCAAACATATAAGATCCGGTAGGGCGAACTCCTTCCGAGTTACGAATATCCTTCAGCTGCACTCTTTGTTTGGTCTCTTAAGCTTATGATGCATTGCAATCATGGATTAACTTACTGCGCGGATCCAACAGTTCAAAGTCAATTCAGCCCATTCAAGCTTGATGCTCGCTTCAGAAACTCAAATGAGCGTAGCTGGTTCCTCTTCGCCTTCAGCCGCCAAGATCCAACGCAGCATAGAGCTTGACACCATCATGTGGAATAGATATCCCTCCCGCGATCAGCAACGGCCATGGTAACGAGGTAGCAGTCAATAATGAGCAGTTGTGTCTGCCTGCTGCAGCGGATCAGTGCGATGTTGAAAACGTATTGCACGACCTCTCTACTCCATACTATTCTACTACGCTAGAAATGGTTGTTCACCTTATCACTTACCTTATCATTCTTCATATGACGTCATAGCTCCATTGAATTGGAATCAGGGCGGTGAAGGATGGCAGTATCAATCAAACAACCCGAGAAGCTTTTAACCATCATGTTTTGGAGCTCCCAAGGTTCCCTCCGTGCACTTAATATCTGTTACATTTTCTGGTCTCGCAGCGGCACGACCGCTTACTTACCTCTGATCGATGACCTCCAATGGTCAAGATGCTCTACAATGCCCTAATTCGGACCCATCACATCACATCTCGTAAAAAGGTGTCTGCATTGAAACGAGCAGCTGACACGCACAACTGTTTCGTACTGCTCCGCTATGGCGGATGTCCAGGAATTATGTATGTTGAATCCGGGGATATGAAGTCTGTGGAGTCGTGGGTCGATGTGGTGCGGAACCTGCGCTACAAAGATTTCCAGCTTGTTAGCCGACCAGGAGCGGTAGCAAGGGATGATCAAGCCGGAGATTCGAAGCTAGACAGACGTTCTCAGAGCTCAGATATTCCAACTTTACCGCACGTAGGGCTATCTGAAGTTGAGTCCGTCAAGGAATTTGGGAGTATTATGGAACAGCGGGGTGTTAGGCAGTGGTGGAGAAAGGGAATGGGTTACCTGAGCTGAGTGTTGATGATTGATCTTGAGTGCTACATCTTGCCTCAAGGCGCGCAGCTCTCAATTGGTGTTGGACTGCTTTCATGTGCCACAATTGGTTTTTGCGGCGCATTTTTGTGGTGATATCCTCCTTTCGGCGGGAGGTCACGAATACTCCTGCTCTCGCAGCGTTATAATGCCCTGGCATGCACGACAATTTGGCAGCAGTGAGGCTTGACTGTCAATCCTGACATCAACCCTCTAGAACTGTTGAGTCTGCTTGCCATGGAGGGACCTCGTCGACATGCTCCGCTTCAAAACAACAAGTCTCCCGCGGTTTCTCATCTCTTTCAGGGGGTGTTCTTGTTTAGTAACCTTATATTCAAATGGTTTTGACCATACCCCACCCTTGCCCTGCCTACATTGGCGGTGACCTCAACTCTTAGCTCACTTCATAGGGACTTGCTGTCCACAAGAAGGTCAGCAAGAGTGGTATGGCCTCTGCAACTGAAATCTCCATGATACTCACGGCTATAATATACTAAACTGTATTAATCCAATATTACCATATGCTATCCGCCTTGCAAGCATCCATTCACTCGAAGTTTGAGACGGCCTTTTTGTGCCACCCGGTCATTTCGAGCAGCCGAGCAAGGCTGTGGTCACTAAGTTTATGCACATAGCAGTATACGAAGTCCTTAGTTGATAGCTTTTGCGTTCAGCCGGTGGTTTAGTTGTTTTGGCCCTTTTTGAAGGGCTGTCAAGTCAAATTGCCTAAAGCGCTTATTGGTAGCGGTAACCATCGAAGAATTGACTTCACGTGAAAGAACCCAACGTCCATTTACCTGGTGATATACATTGGATGATGATAGATCAATGTAACCAAGGAAGTGGGCATTGCGCATGCCTGACCTTGAACGCCGTTCCATATGCCGCGAATGGAAATACTATGGCTAGAGAAGTATCCGTAAAAGCTGAGGAGACGGCCCTAGTGAGGCTTCTCTATTGGGGGCCAATCGGGAGCAGGGTAACTCAGTAGTCTACAAATGTCCTACAGAATCCAGATTAGCGAAATTTTGTACGAATCATGCGAATCTTTGTGCATACCTTTCGTCTTTGACGGAAGTCTTGGTAGAGTGACTTCCATACCTCCCGATCACGACACCCCCTCTCTTGCATTGTGCCGGGTTTATAGTCACACTTGGGTAGTATCTCAGCGAGCAGCTTCTGATTTGAAAGCACCCAGGGCTTTGGTAAAGGCCAGTCAGAGAAGTGCACAAGCTTGGCTTCTGCCAGGACCTTGTCAGGATCCCAAGTCTCATAGTCATTTCCAAAGAAATTGCGATGATCTTTTTTCCGGAACTCGCCGGTGACTAGGCCGTACTGCCGATGCGGAAGAACCAAGGCCGAATCTGCATAGCGATTATTCAAAAGCTCCATATCATATCCATGGGTCTCATTCGAATCAACTTCCACTTGACCGTGGAGAGCTGGTTGAGCACTCTCCATGAGGGCTTTGAATTCGCGATACGAAGGTTCAATCACGATCAGCAGGGACGATAGTTGCTTTGTATCCGGGAGCGCCCAGTAAGCTCGAGGCATAGCCGCTTTGGCTGGTGGGAGGAAGAAGAGCTCGTCCATCTTCTGGAGAATGGTAACGTCGGAATCAAGGTGTATGACGCGATCGTATTCTGTCTCGCCGAAGGCGAGCAATTTCGCGATACTCTTATCCCAAGATTCGCCAGAACCTGTGTCGATTGTTATCAGAGTTAGCGCCAGCTCTGCTTTTGAAGAACAGCCGAACTGTGACTCTGAACCCGGACACACGTACCTCCACCAGCCTTGATCATTTCCGAACTAATAGGTACCAGCAACGCCTTGTACTTCTCCTTTGCGAGCTCTAGCAACTGGCTGTCCCTGTCACGATCATCTGCAACGAACATATCCCAGTCTTCAGGATAGAAGAGAACTCTATCCGCTCGGCTACCTAACCGCTCCAGAGCTTCAAACACCATCACGGCGTTACACAGATATGCGCTCGAGGTCGCATACTGACTGTAGGCGTAACGCGACCAATCGACCTTATCATAATCGATATGCGAAACAGGAGCAGGCGGAGGGGCTTCACGGCGGAACCAAAGTATCAGAATGACGACGGCTGCGAAGAAAATCCAGGTCCGAATGTGTCTTAGTTGCCGCTTCGCAATCGCAAGACATGGCTCGTCGGGGATATCGAAGAAATCCGCTTCTGAAGACCCAGAACCCCTGCGGTAGGGAAGAAGGGAGGCCTTTTTGTTTCCCATTGATCATGGATTACCGAATAGTGAGAGCCAGGTGACCATTCTGGCGTTGTCAACGCGCATGGCTCAATTACTGACAGGTAATCACTCATCATGTCCTTAAGAGATCTGCGGACTCGACCATTACCGATCCCCGTGCACGTGACGGAGCCTCCAACTGCGTGTCAAGATGGTTTTTTTTGTTGACTCTTGCGTTTACTTTGTTTCTGTGTTTCAGATGTCGATCGAATTTTGCTATGGAGTTCTATACATCAAGCATATAACAGGTCTTCATTTTTCAAGTTCAAATGAGGAATTGCCACCGCTCATGTGCCTTGCCTACATACTATGGTGGATGGTTGAATGAATAGCTTCAACCATCCACTATACTATACTATACTAAATCAGGCAGTTGGTCGGATCGTAACATAGGGGACGTACTTGTGCTCTAGGTCAAACACGACTTCTCTCTTATTACTGAGAAATAATATATCGTTAAGTATAGCCTAGCCTTGCTTGAATCTCCTTCTCATCGAGAGAACCGCTCTCTCCGACATAGTTCTGAAGAGCCTCAAGGGTCATCAATCGGCGAGGTGCCTTCCGGCCTGTTAGGAGCTCGAACTGCGCGACCGCTTGTTCTGAGACTAACTCCAGCCCTCCGACCAGTATCCACGGCCTTCCAGTTTCACTTCGGAACCGGCGCATTTGCCGCAGCAGGGGCGTATCCAAGGGTTTGTATGCAAACTGCGTCAACGAAAATTGATCAGCTAGGCTCTTCAGGATCAAACGGGGTGAAATTTGCTCACCTCCAAAATCACGCCGCCGGTTGGACTTCCGAGCCACTGCTTCGGCATTTCGAAGTTGGCTGGAGGTTCGTCTCTGTCAGGATCCGCTGGCACGCACGAGGCAATTAAACATGGGGGGCAGGCATCCAATGGCCATTCATCTTGGAGGGACGTTAACACCCGTACTACTTGGGTTGAGCCCACCTGCGACGCAGCCCAAGAATTGAAATGGCGTGCGACACTCTCCGCACGCGATAAGGTTCGGTTGTATATAAATATTTTCCGGCAACCCAGCCGAAGCATAGCATAAATCGCGGCGCGAGCCATGCCACCGGCTCCAATAACCAGGCCTGTTGATTTCAAAGGGCTGATCGTATTACGAGGAGACAGGTGACGACTGATACAAGTCATTATACTCACCCAGTCTGTGTTTTCTCCATACCATCCCAGAACAGGCCCCGCCTGGTTACGGCGGCTGGCTTGCTCTTGTAAGGGAAACATCGTCCCATCAGCTCGTGCACGCAGAGGCATGATAGTATTGACGGCCCCGATAGCTTCAGCATGTCTGCTTTTAGATGCGAGTTTCTGAAAGACCTGCACTCTCCACGGCTGCACAATACTCGCACCCCCGAAATGCGGATCACGGCCCAGCCGATCAAGCGCCGCAAGAGAAGGAGACTCGGGAATGCTATACGTGTGCCTCATGCCGCAGTGCCGAAAAGCAGCATTGTGCATGGCAGGTGATAGACTGTACGCCACGTTCCCTCCAAGGATGTAGAATTGCAGGGGGTCTAGCGTATAGCTCTGGAACAAGGCTTGAATGGCGTCTCGTGAAGTAATGAGGGGATCCCTGCCATTGTCTGTGCGGCGCTTAATAGCCGGATGGGTCACAGAGGTCAATATCGGATTGAACACCTGCGAGGTCCTCCCAAGACTGCCAATGTTGTAGGCAATCACCGGGGGGTGTGAACCAGGTATGGATTGGATCTTGTTGATAAATTTGCCCACAGCTGCATTATCCTCGCGCTCAGTGGCTGTTCGAAGAATACGCACGATTTGGCAACCAAGCTTTTCTGCTTCGAGATACAGGGAAAGGCAATCTTCGTCCTCCCACTTTACGCAAGAGGACGGCTCGAACAGGTAATGGCCGATAATCTTTGTTCTACCTCTGTTGCGGATCACCTGATTCAGCAAAGATTGATTTTGGGCAAGATCGACTGCTAAATACTCCACAGCCAGCCTTAAGCCATGCTCTAAGATGTTGAAATACAGCTCTGAGATCTGCGTCGATATAAGGTCACCGCTGCCGATTCCGGATGCTGTTGTATCAACGGAGAGTATGATGGGTGTCCGGGCATTCCTCCGAAGCAAAGAAACTTGCTTGCTGATGGTGCTGGCCATGCCTGAACCCCAGCGGTCGATGCAGAGCTCAATAGCATCTCCACCAGATTCAAGTTCTGCCAAATCGACGACACCTTCAATTAGATCAGAGGAGCGAACAAAGATTGCATGGGTAAATGATCGAAGTTCCGGGGGGGTCTCCAACAGTACGAAAGGTGAGTCGTAGCCAGGTTGGTCCACATCTGCGCCGGTGACAAAACGTACGAAGCGGGTGAAGTCCTCCTTCGCCTCTCTGAGTTTGAAGGAGTAATTAACAGATTGGCGATCAGATGGCTCTCCGTCGGTTTGAGCCTCCACACTGGAAAGATCTTCTATGTTGTAATACTCGAAATTTGAGCAAGTTCTGTGCAGAGGGTCCCCCTCACACAGCAGCTTAACAGCCTGATGCTCTAAACCTAGCAAACTTTGGATTCGATCCATGTCGCGAACAAGGTACACGATTGGGTTCTTCGCCAAATACAAACGAAGGTGCTCCTGAATTGGCCGAGTGAGGCTACCAAGACCGCACTCAATGACACACTGCGATTGATGGTTGTCGAGCATCTTCTTGAGAACATCGATATCACGACGTTGAAATTCTTGACTGCCATGGCGCTTGAGGTACTCATGCCGCGTGAGCCCAGTAACTTCCTTAAAGTAATGATCCTCTGTAATGAAACGGCGTTTGAGAGCCGTGGCAGCAACGAAGCCGAGAGAGCGCTTTCCGCATCCCCGAATGCCAACTAGCACCAACGACGCATCGCGATCGAATCTCCGGGGAGTATTGACGCTCGAACCTGGGGGCATCATCGCTGCGGATGGTGATATATGTACTGTTTTAGAAGCGAATTCAAGAATTGTTGTCCCAATTTAACCGATGTTGTTTACTTTTAGGAGCGCCATCTCTCCATAAGTCAAATTGCCAATGACCTGCACTGCTGAAAACTTGGTATTCCAAGTATGACGGGGTGAAAGATAACAGTGCGTGGTTGGAGGAAAGGAAATCAAGAGGTTCGGCGGCGATAAGACGATGGCAATCTCACAGTTTAACATGCCGGGAGTGTGTAGTTTCACGACTCACGGCTAAAGGCGTGGAGATCGAAAAGGGACGAAAGATGAGGAGGTAGAGTAAGGAACATATTAGTGGCTTGATAGCTAGACTAAGAGGTGCCAGAATGAAAGATCGGTCTCCCGACTCAAATGAGGGCATCTGGGATTCTAGGACGGACCATTTGCCGTTCATTTTTCCCCAGACGGTCAATCTGCCACGTCTCACCGCCTTTTGGAGACAGACGGCGGCAAAGGTTTTAGCCGAGTGTGGGAGAAGGATACGGAGTATATCTAGTACTATGCTAAGATGAGCTCAGATGTATTTCAATCCATGCGGTCAATTCCATCTCTTTTCTTTCTCCGATTGCTACACTCGGATTGTTCCACGCATATTGTTCAACGCATATTGCCTGAACGTACCTGTAACTTCCAGCCGTAGCTAGCAAGTTTGGATATGTATAACAGCAAGTAGTGGTCCCCGAAAATAGGCTGTGACTGGGATAATCCTGCTGTACGGGTGGGTGCAGGGTTACAGAATAAGATTTTGAGTCACAACTGAGAGACGTGAGGTGGTTAGGCACTGAGTGAAGCACCAGCGGGTGTGCCAAAATGTATCAGATCACTCATCTCATTTGTTAGCAACTACCTATACCATGTGTAATTTGATCCGGGAGCAGTGAAAGCAACGGACTTGATCCAATACTCCGCGACAAGTCAGTTGCGACGCTTCCAAATCCACATTCTATCTGGCCATTTGCTGGTTCCCAGATTTCTTCTAACAGATAAATCAAAGGAGCGCGGCTGGTTGCCATTATCTGTATCTTCCCAGACCACCCTAAGACTGCTGACGCTTAAACGTCCGGTATGCCAACCTGAGAAGCTTGAAACAGCTTCATCAAAAATTACCCTGAGCCACTTTCTGGTGGTTTGATGTGGACACTTCGAGCGAGCCTTAATACCTGAAGCTAATGATTCTGGGGACATTTCTTTTCAACCTACAAAACGTTTCCACGCGCAAAGTCCGAGTTTCTTCATCATACCGAAATGAAGTTTCGACTTCGGCCTTCATGAAAGGATGATCAGTGAAGGTACAGTCGTGCCATAACCGGTCCTGACACTCCCTAGAGCCCATATGAAACAGAGCATTATTGAAGTAATATTGACGCCCATCATGCACTTGCTTGCTAGCATATTTGCATGCTTCTATCAAGTCAACCTTATCAAGGAACGAGATTGTGAGGCAGGGACAGATTTCGACCTCACCAGCGTAAGCCATGCACTCATTTTGTCCATGGAGTGATTGACGTTCAGAACAACATGGCTTTCGGTAAGAGCGCCACGTCCATCGTGGATTTTGCCACGCTGAATGAGGGTGCAGACTCCAGCATGCACCGCAGTACTTCCAACGGCTATTCTCCAGTTGGTGGAGTAGTTGGATTTGAGGCTGCTTTTCGGCGTTGGGACACAGATTCTGTCGTTTTTCGGCTGGCAGGAGCAGAGCAAGCTGTAGGTCGTGGGCTTGGAGAAAAGAATGAAAACAAGCAAAGAGATATTTGCAACTCAGCGAGAAGCAAACTTGGTCTGGCGCCGTAAGATATCTCAATATGACTCCCACTACCTCGGGTGGAACTTTCTGCACATTGAGGAACTGCGGTGGATGCTGTCGGAGGACAGCTTGGAGCAGAGGAAAGAGTTTGCGCCGGCATTTGAGAGAGTCATATCGGGTGTTTTGAAGTTGTTCTGAGACAGTAATAGTCGACAGCAGAGAAATAACAGTGGAAAGAACCCGAAGAGATTTTATTCTCAATACTATACATTCGTTACGTTTTGGGCGTCATCAGACTAGACAGCATCCACGGCTTGTATATCACGTCCGTTGGTTCTCATGGACCAACACTACACTCGGATAGAACTGAGCAGGAAATAGAAATACTTACTACTCTCGTCTCTATGATTGTATATAGTACCACCCCAGCTATGACAGCATTAGCAGACCTCATGTCAAGCCAACATCACTGGGTCCTTCGGAGTCTATCCCTCTTTGGCGAGGCCGAGGACCAACTTCCTGGAACATTGGTTGAGATATGAGATTGTCGATGTAAGAGATCCCTCAGAGTGGACGAATCCTTCGTGGTTGGGTCTCTGGTACCGACTCGGGATGCCGGGGGAGCTCGGCCCATGGCTATTGACACGGAGAGTTGTACCTAGTACTACAGCTTCACAGAACGATTAGGAAGTGAAAGACTGAGAAGAAATCCAGCTCCTGCCTCTTATCAGCAGCCCTATAATGGCGACCTCTCAAATCTCGATTGTCGACTTACTCGAGCGTGCCAATTCTTTTGGTCGGCCCGAGTCTGTCGGACTCCCTCCGTACTTGAGTACGAAATCGGAGCCCTTTTAGGTCCCACATAGTGGTAGGTACCACATCAAAGCACCGATTTCCGGCAGTTCAACAGTCAACCCTTCATCAGGGAAGTCATGATTGGTGGAATCATCTCTCCCAATTTTGTAAAACTGCTGCTCGCTTTTATCTGCTCGGAAATCGGAGCTGGCGAGAGGCTTAGGCGTGTAATAATGCTCAAGAATCGAGACTTCGGGGTGTCGTACTCCGTGGAGGAGTCGATCCAGATCGTTCAATGAATCTCGATCATCATAATATGTACCTGCAAAGTATGTGAGACTGAACTGTGATTGATAATTAATTGGGATTAGATTGATTAGTACTTGAGAGATGGGTCGGCCACACTGCACCGTTAATGCAGCCCTTAGTTCCCTTCAATAGTTAGGACCAAGCCCTCGTGAGACGCTGAAGAGCGGATATCTGTAGGATTCAAGTCAATAATAATGGAATTGGTGTATTGATAACACTGATCATAACATGGGCTTCTTCCCACATCCCGCCGTGGAGAACCGTGGAGAGCCAAATGTGGGGAGAAAGCCGACGGAAACCAGCGCCCTCGTTTTCTCACTTCCTGAGCCACTTGCCGAGCTCTTCCCGAACGCTTTGTCGCTAAAACCCGTCCTCCTCTTCCTCGGAATGGGTCTCACTCCAGCCATCAGAGTCTTATCCTTGATCTGGAAGAGTCGATGTGTTGATAGAGCTATTGCAAGTGGCTATGGAAAAGTGTGGTCGGCTCCTGTCCACGCTTTCCCCTGTGATACAGCTTTTCACCTTCCGATTGCGCCTAAGAAGTTCGTTCCTTTACTATATCGAACGAACATTGAGTGCTCAGTCACGACGAGGAGGGACAGACACGTTTGACCTCTTGCGCCCCGACTATCTGTCCCTAGGTTGATTCCTACTGCTTCCCTCTCGATTTCCGTCCGCCGACCCCTTCGTTCTTCTGGTCGTCTGCTCCCAGGGCTCTGTATTTCTTGTCCATTCCTCCACCCCCTACATGGCGTGCAGATCTGCCCGTCATTGATCCCTCCTCGATGGACGAAAGTCCAGATCCAAAAGTCCCTCGACGGAAGAGGGTTTCACGGGCTTGCGATAGGTGTCGGAGCAAAAAGGTTAGCTCATTCCATGTCCCGTTTCTGGTCCCTCTACGCATCAGCCGTGACTGTCCCTCGATCTTTTATCTTCCTACATAGTCAGACGCGGCGGGCTGTAGCTGACACCGTTTTTGACATATAGGACAAATGCGATGGCCTTCGACCGTCTTGTTCCGCCTGCCGAACCTCTGGCCAGACATGTTCGTATGATCCACATGCGAAGAAACGTGGTCTGCCGGAGGGCTACGTTCGCGGTCTTGAGAAGCTTTGGGCTCTGTCGATCTGCAATATAGATGGCTTCGAAGATACTATGCTGGCCCTTTTGGGCACAACACCAGACTCTGCTGGCCGGAGGGATAAGCTTTTGAGCTTGTGGATGGACGACAGTGCTTCAGAAACGTTGCACGAATCCTGGAAAACCAGTCGCCTCTATGGCACGTTGGAGAAGATGTTGTCGCACTCCGATACGTCTTCATCGCACGGTGCGAGCAAGAGGCCACGGGACGAGAATGATACCAGCTCATTAGATTCGACGAGCGAATGGGGTTTCAGACTTGACCGCAGTTCTACGCCTTTGGCACAGGATGCGCCTCGGGTGGTAGGACTTTCCTCTTCCCAAAATGTCAAGAGACCTCGATTGTCACAGTCGGGTGACGGCGTGTCGGTACCGCAAGCCACTGGCAGAGTGCAAGCTTTGAAACTTCCTCCTCAAACATCGCAGCTGTTGGACACATATTTCGCAGTCACTCATTCCTGGTTCCCGGTCGTGGCGAAGCATAATATCCTTCGAGCATCCTATCTTTACGCAAGCGCCCCTCTGTCTGTTGAGAGCATGTCACCTGGATCCGGTGACCACGCTGCACTGTGGGCAGTTCTCAGTTACACGATTTCTCACTCGCGAACCAATGCACGGGATGGGGCTTTCGAGGTTCTCGCCACAACGACAAAGGAGTATTACGCCATCGCTCGAAGCCTGATACCTTCCGAAACGGCGCGTTACGAGCTTGGGCATGTGCAGGMGCTTCTGTTGCTGACTTTGGTGAACATCGGGCTTGAAGATTGGACGGCCGCTTGGCTGCTAAGCGGTCAAGCGGTGCGCATGGCTATTTCCATGAATCTAGGCTCGCTTGCAGGCATAAGGCGCTCCGACGAGCTGCGGCAAGGGAAAGCTGTTTTCCTCGGCTGCTTTGTCGTTGATTCTTTACTTTCCTTTCGAATAGCACGGAGACCTTGCATGCACCCTCGAGATCTGACTACTGTCGGGTTGCTTGAAGAAGACGGCCTAGAAGAATGGAATTCTTGGGCTGACGTTCTGCCCTCCAAAGGAACTGCTCAGGGAAGGACACCTCGACGCGGCCCCCTTCTTGCCCTTAGCTGCTTCAACCGGCTGGTGGAGCTGGCTAGTGTTTTGAACAAAATAGCCCGTGACGCAGTCGGCGGGCCTAATGCTCATGCGTTTGCGCAACAACTGGTGCTCGAACTGAAACAATGGGACGATCGTCTGCCCCTTGGATGCCGTCTCATTGGACCTGAGAGTATCTATCCTGAACGGCACTCGTCTCTACTCCCTCATCAGACCTATCTAGGGTTGACGTATGTTGCTACACTATTATGGTTGTATTTGCGTATTGCTCCCCAGGAGCTCGACTTGCATCGCTCGCAGCGGCCTGCCATCGAAGGTGCAAAGAAACTTCTATTCCGCGCCCTGCCTATGATTTCCCAACATCTGGAGAATTTTCCTACGTGCAGCCTTCCCCCTATCTTTGAGCTTTCTTTACGCACCATCGCCGAGCAAGCATCTGTTTTGCAAAGCAAGATCGAGTCTGACACATTTCCTTTCGCGCGATGGGCGGAAGTGTTAAATCAACGAACTGAGGAACTCGGTTCTACATGGCCCCTCTACCGTTCACTGAACACAGCTATTGAAAAATCGTATCACCTCAGAAATGTGCCGGGACATTCATTATCTTTCGAGCCGCCCTGTGAGGGCCGTTTTTCAAGAAACAGGCATCCCTTACCCAACGCTGTGTCCACGGTTGCCACTACAATGGGTGCAGCTCCAGGAACCCGAAATCCACCAGATGGCAGCCGAACATACTCTGACATCCGAGGACTCCAGCCTGGTGCAGGCGATTCCGACTATACCTCCACCATACTCGGCATAAGCATCCCTGTAGACGCCCAATATATGACCCCCAAGGACTCGACAATGGATACTGGAGACCTTTCCATGCTGGATATATCCTTTCAGCAACAAATAGGAGGCGATTCTTCGAATTTTGGCAAGTCCAATTCTGCCAGTGGGCTAGAAGCGACGCTGCTTCCATCAGCTCAAAGTCACCCTCACCCACCAACCCCGGATTCTTCAAGCTCTAATCCAACCATACCTGGCAATGCCAACTTCAGTGATCGCTCCCAACAACCAGGGCAAAATCCAAGTAGTGACCTTGGTACATCTATGACCGATGGTCAGACCGCACCTGGTGATATTGATGCTATTTTCAAAGACCTTGCATATCTGGACACTACCGATTGGGCTACAAGTCGTGAGGCAGGCTTGAAGGATTTTGGATTTCTAGACGACAGTACATTCCAGGCATTTTGTCATGATCCAGATCGTTTGGTCGGATCTCAGCCACTGGTTCACCCGCCGTCTATTGCCGACATCTGGCCTCCCCCGGGATTTTTCCCGGAGACCTTCCAAGAATCTACCGACGACATGGAAAGTTGAACTCCACCAAGGTCCCTTCTTCAATAAGCAATGACGCCGCACTGGGAGTTCGCGCATCGGACTTGAACGGAGTTACACATTCCGAGGCTCCTTGACTTCGCTGCCTTGATGTTATCAAACAGGGGGAATACCGACGGGAATGAGGATCCTTGAAGTTGGAAGCGATATGTGTTTACACGATACCCAAATGTAAGTAGCAATGCTATGGTGTATGTCTTTATAACGAGCTAATTGATGTTTGTATAGTTGAATTCTTCGAACATTTGTATATAGTCTGCAGATAGACGTCACCTCTGTGATTGCTACTATGTGACACCTCATTTCACATATCAGCGAATACCAATGTTTTCCTAGTACGCTTAGTCAAAGAAAACTGATTGACTATGATGCTTTCACGAATCTTGAATGGTCTGGCGGTGAATTTTCCAGTTCACTCGGGTGGTGCGAAGTTGGCTCAAGAAGGCAGCAACCAGCGACTACATCAATATATCAAGCGCAGATATACCTTTAGCAGCAAC